TGCGGCACTCAGAGAGAGTGTTTCTGAACGCACCCTCAGTCTTAGTTAATTGGAAAGTTAACAGGAAACAAAATAGTGTTTTGTGTTGAGGTGATATTTCAGACTCAAGTTCTGTGATGGTACAAAAATTCCTTCCTGCAGAGAACGCTGCTGCTATCAACAGTTCAATCTGGGTAAATGTTCCGCTCACGGGGCCGAGCAGCGTCATCTCGTCTTCCTCCATCATGTGACAAACACACTGTGGCCTTTAATGATGCAAAGGGCACCACGGAGCGCCGTTAATGAGAGTTAATTCTTTTACAGCAGTATTTTTTCAGTGATGAATTATTGAAATGAACACGTTATTTTGACAGGCCTATTTTCAACTTTTCTGCACGTCTACAAACCGCTACAAAAACACAACACGCTGCGCAGGAGAGGAACACACAGGAAGACGGGGGGGTTGTTGGTGACGTGTTGCTCATGATGTGTCTCAGTGTGGTCGAGGCCTTAGTGAGGAATCACAGACCCACTGCTCTGTGAAAACATGTTGTTGTTGTGAAAACATGTCAGGTCACATGATCCACCTGTTTTTCATTCAAAACAGAGGTGTGAGCTCCAGTCACAAGACTTGGACTCTAATCAGACTTGAGTCACAAATGTAATGACTTTAGATAAAATCAAAGGAGACCTGCAGCTCGACTTGGACTTTAACACCAAAGACTTGTGACTGGACTTGAAGACACCTGACACCTTCCTCCAAAGATTAGAAAGAGTGTTAAAGTGTGACAGGTCTCAGGTCACAGTGATGCTCTTCACTCTCAGCGAGTCGACACCTCAGTCCTCAGATCCATTTTGTTTGAACCAGTCTGACATCATCCAATCACGTTACAGGAGAGACCCATGAGGAACTAACGTTACGTTACTGAGCACCAGTTTGGAAAATGATGACACCAAAGATCGTTTTGTTCATGTACAAAAACAGATAACAGATAAATAACAGACGGCAGTCTGCAAAATGTGCAGCTGGAAAATAACTGAAGACGCAACAACTTCCAACTTTATTCAACACCCGATGTTTCACAAAGGAAACAGTCAGCAGGTTGTATTTTCTTATTTCACACCACCACTGCCCACACAAAGTCTCAAACTCAGACCTAAATCTGATCAAACAGTAAAACTAATCAGCACTAATCAAATATAAACTGTCACCAAGTCACCAAGTCACCGTCTCAAGTCACACACTACTAAACACTTCATGTTCTGAGTGCTGTCACACTAGTACAGGAAAATGCAGTGAACAGTCCAAAAGTTGAGTGTGGAATAACGGACACTTCTCACCTTCAGCGGTCGCCATCTTAACTGTCAACAAGGCTGCTGCGGACGACACAGAGCCTGTTAGTAAGACATGTTTTTACACTAAGCACCAAAACTGTTGTCGAATAGAAGCCGTCAGTGATGTTTGTTGGGTCTGTCATGATTTGGTACCAACAACAATAATGAGACTGCTAACGTTAGCTTGCTAGCTAACTTGTTCCAAACTACGGCCGCGCATTTTAATCAGTAATGTTACTGAAGTTTTGGCATAAGTGCAGTTTATGTGTGGGCGGAGATAGAGGTCAAATTTTGGCGATAATGCTCCACAGTCCATCATCATCCTCACTGTGACCTCGTCATGTGTCCACGTTTGGTCATGGACTTTCCACGTCCACATATGACGTCCAAGGTACCCTGGGTGTGTTGGTTGTTGACGTTCTGGGACGCCGTGTCAACTTCAGCCTGTTACATGCATTGTCTGTTTTCAAAATACACTTCTGTTTTCACAGGAAATGTACAGTTTGCATACAGTCTCTTCCAAAATAAAAGCACTACGTTGGGACAACACCAACTGATGTTTTTTCCTTCAACAACACACACATGGTTACGTTTAGCCAACACACACACACCTGGTTACGTTTAGCCAACACACACACACACCTGGTTACGTTTAGCCAACACACACACACACCTGGTTACGTTTAGCCAACACACACACACCTGGTTACGTTTAGCCAACACACACACACACCTGGTTACGTTTAGCCAACACACACACACACCTGGTTACGTTTAGCCAACACACACACACCTGGTTACGTTTAGCCAACACACACACACACACACACGTGGTTACGTTTAGCCAACACACACACGTGGTTACGTTTAGCTGACACACACGTGGTTACATTTAGCCAACACACACATGTGGTTATGTTTAACTGACACACACACGTGGTTACGTTTAACTGACACACACGTGGTTACATTTAGCCAACACACACACGTGGTTATGTTTAACTGACACACACACGTGGTTACGTTTAACTGACACACACGTGGTTACATTTAGCCAACACACACACGTGGTTACGTTTAGCCAACACACACACATGGTTACGTTTAGCCAACACACACACGTGGTTACGTTTAGCCAACACACACACGTGGTTACATTTAGCCAACACACACACATGTGGTTACGTTTAGCCAACACGTAATTATGTTTAGGAAAAAAGAACAGGGTTTGGCTTTACAATCTTACAGGAAGTGAACACCGGCCTCCAGTGTTTGTTGGACCCCTCCCACCTGCCTCAGTCAGACTTTTGTCTGACCCTTTTGTCTGACCCTACCTGCCGTGTCCAGGTGTGTGTTACCTGCTGCTGCCCTGTTTGTACATGTCGATGATGTTCTCCACCAGCAGGTTCCTCTGCAGCCCGTACACACCGTGCCGATCCAGAACCACCTCATGTCGGCAGGACGGGCAGCGGAAACGACCACCTGATGTCACCGTGGAGCCGCTCCTCGTCGACAGGTAGGGATTGGACGCCTGCAGGGGGCGGAGCATCACACAGGTAGAGTGGTTAACAACAGGAACACTGACAGGAAGTGACTCATAAACTTCCTGATTTGATGTCAGTAGAATGACGACATGAGACAACTCAAATGCTCCGAAATGTTTTTTGTGTGTTACTGAGTGTGTATATGTGTCTGTTAGTGTGTGTGTGCATGTTACTGACCTGGAACACGTCATTGGCACACTTCCTGCAGAGGTTGTGTTGGCAGGGCAAGATGACCACCGGCTTGGTGAACATCTCCAGACAGATGGGACAGATGAGCTGCTTCTCCAGACTCTCCATGATGTCTCAGTGGGTGAGAAACTCGGGGGAGACGGCCGTCACCCGGACAGGACGGGGGAGGACGTTAGATAAAATAAAGAAGAAGAAGAAGAAGAAGAAGAAGAAGGAGCGGAGCAGTGAAGGCCTGCAGACTGCGGACAGAGCAGCACTCAGTCTGTTTTTAGACTGACAGACGTCAGGTGTTGCCATGCCGACATGCCCTTATATGTCAAAGGTCACGAGGAGACATGACAGAGCAGTGGGGGGAGGGGGGGTTGTTAAAGGGACAGTCCACAGTATGAAGCAAGAGGAGGAGCTGAGGATGCTGCAGCGCCTCCTGCTGGACTCTTCACATCAGAAACATCTGACGCTGCAGAATCTGTGACGTCTTTAAATCACCTCTCAGAAATCATCTTTTAAAAAAATCTTTTTAATTTAAATTTCTTTTTAAAATTTGTAACTTGTCTGTTGCTGTGGTCGTCATCCTAAAGCCAGAGCCATTGTGACAGTTTAATATCAGAGTGAAACACTGTCTGATAATTCCTCTGTCAGCATTAACAGTGTTAATGCTAAGAGTGCTGTCATCCACACGGGGGCGCCACAAAAAAGGGAAAGAAAAAAGAATCTAAATGTTTATTGTTGTGTTACTGCTGTTATTCTGAAGTATGACAGAAGGACAACACAACTACACAACAACACAACAACACAGCAAAGACTGCTGAATAACAGAGAGCCCCCCCCTGCCCCCCCCCATCCTCAGCTCGTTACACTTTACCTGCTCTCTGGGAGAGATGGGCGGAGTTATCTGACATCACATGAGCCCGAAACACGCTACAGCATTATCCTGTCAAAACCACTTAACTACCACGATACCACTGAGAGCCTGTTGAGTTTGCTGTTAGCAGCTAGCAGTTAGCTGTAAGCAGTTAGCAGCTATCAGTTAGCAGCTAGTTGTTAGCTTTTAATTGTTAGCGGTTAGCTGTTAGTGGTTAGCTTTTAGCTATTAGCAGTTAGCTTTTAGCGGTAAGCAGTTAGCAGCTGGCTGTTAGCTGTTAGTGGTTAGCTGTTAGCTTTTAGCTGGTAGCTGTTAATGGTTAGTTGTCAGCAGTTAGCTGTTAGCAGCTAGCAGCTAGTTCTTAGCAGTTAGCTGTTGGCAGCTAGCAGTTAGCTGTTCACTTGTAGCTGTTAGTAGTTAGCTTTTAGCTGCGAGCAGTTAACTGTTAGCTGATAGTAGTTAGCAGGTATTTGTAAGCAGTTAGCAGCTAGTTGTTATATGTTAGCAGTTAGCTGTTAGTGGTTAGCTTTTAGCTGTTAGCAGTTATCTTAGAGCTGGTAGTTGTTATTGGTTAGCAGTTAGCTGTTAGCAGCTAGCTGTCAGCAGTTAGCAACTAGCTGTTAGCAGTTAGCAGTCCATCTAAGCAGTTAGCTGTTAGCAGTTAGCAGCTTATTATCACTACCTCTTAGCAGCTGGTGAACACAACCAATAGCTGACAGAGGTTGCATTGATTTACATTGTGAAGCATTCAGGCTCTGGTCAGTAAAAATGAGTACTGGGTGAAGGTAAATTATAATGTTCTCATGATGTGTTCAGTGTAATCTCGTAATTTGTAGCCTTTGGTGGTAAACGTGAGTAAATCAGCTGTTTGAAGGAGAAATGTGTCGATGTTTTCACAGGAATATAAAACAGATATTAGAGATTATTTTTCCAAAGATATTTTTCATGTGAATGAAGGTTATGTTAAAGGTTGTTTCATAAATGTGTATTATTGAATTCATTCTCATTCAAAGGTGTGAGGACTGAATGACTTTATTTTTATAGTGTAGATTGGAAACAACAGAAGAATAAATAACAACAACAAACACTTATGTAAAATAATCGGTATCAGCTGTTGGTGAAATTATTTTAAACGTTGGTATCAGGGCATCAAACGGCACGTTTGTCTTTATTAATTAATAGCTGATGTAACGATGCTTCATTGATGATTAATAAGAAACATCTGATCGTACATTTATAACATACGATGAGTTGAAAGGAAGAAACCAGGTGTTTGATTCAAACACTTGTTTGGTCCAATGATCCGGAACTATCAAGAAAAATCATGCTACATGCTGCATGCTACACGCTACACGTGTTGGTTTTTGTGACCAATCAGTGAAGACGTCATCAGCTGTGACTCATCTGATCACCAGGGATCATTAACATGATGAAGAAAGGTGTGAGGAGGTGACATCATCCATGACATCACTACAGGTGTCACCTGTTCCATCATCCAAACCAAAACTTTATTTACATCAACAACACTGATGAACGTTATCGTGATTATAGTTTATAAAATATTAAAGACTGAATCAGTCTGCTGTTTGAAGCTCCGCCCCTCCGTCAGCACTCAAACCATCAAACAACCAATCAGAGCGTCAGTTTAATAAAAGCCTCGCTGCACTGCAACTTACATCAACAACAGTGGGACATGTGATTATTTTAATGACGCACACACAACATAAAGATTAACAACCATGAAGACGATATGATGAGAGGAAATATCAAAGTGTCGTTCTGTTTATCGTCTGAGTCACAGCAGGACAACAGTATGTGGACGTTAGTGTCCACATACTGTTGTCCTCATTGTGTTTCTCTGTTGACATGAAATCCGTCTCATTCAGTTTGTACTGAACAGCTGTTACACAGAGCGAGGGGATGTTTTGATGCAGTGACATCATGCACCTGCAGTGATGCGTTTCCTGTTTCCTGGTTCATGTGTAGGTATCTCCATATCTGCGGTGTCCGTCACTGATGAGCTGAGTTTTCTCGCTGGCGTTCGTTGGCTGCTGAACAATCGGTGTTTCAACGTCTGCAGAGAAACAAACAGGAAACAAACGTCACATTTAAAAATACAGGAGTGTGTGTTGTTGATGTTCAGCTGTTAATTCATCAGGTTTCTCCCTGAAAGCATAAATTAAGAGGTTTCTTTCATGGATTAATTAACGGGGATGGTTTTTAATGGATTATCTGCATGTATTAACTAACAAACAAACTTTTATGTTAATCTAACAATGAAAGGCTCTAAGGTATAAATTAAGGGACGTCTTTCATGCTTAAAATAATTTGAAATCCCTTAAACAGCAGATGACTGCAGATAATTACTTTAGAAGGAAATTTGGGTTTATTTCAACCTGTCTCCTATCGTCCTAAATTTGTTTCAAGTGACTAGTGACATAAAAATAATAGTTAGCATGTTAGCCGTTAGCCTAGATACAGCCGGGGCGCATAGTAGCATCAGACCTGTTAAAACGTAAGTGAAAGGGCAACCTTCAAGTGCAAAGTTAGTCCACTAAACAAGCTTTTTATCCACAAAGACCGCCTCATATCGTTAGGATAAATGTCAGAGAACATATAGAAAACGACATGTAAACGTGTTGTCTTACCTTACCGGTGTGCTGCCATGTTTGTTTACCATTTAACTCTGCTTTCCAAAGCACGGCCGAAATATATCTGGCGAGAACAAGCAGCAACAGCTGGAAGGCAGAACCGGACAGTAGCCTGAAAAGTTCATTCATTTATTTTATGAAAGATTTATAGAATAATGGCTGACTTTTTGCCAGACTTCGACTTTGTGGAGGAGGAATTTGATTTTGCAGAGTTTGATGGCCGCCCTTATTTATTTGAGCCAGAATACACTGACGAAGAGCTTCATGAAATTGAAGAACGGAGGAGGAGAGAGAGAGAGAGGCGCAACAGGTAGAGGACGAGAGAGGAGGAATGGCTGCTGCAAGGCTGCATAGCTCTGGAGATTGGTGGTGTACCTGTGAATGCTGTGCCCCAGTGCCCACAGAAGAGGAATGCCTCTGTTGCAAGGAATGGGACCAGTTGCAGCCTTATTTTCAAGGTCTGGATGTGACCGAGGACGAGACACCTCCACCTGGAGTAGTATCCAGCTGGGCTTTATCTAGAGCTCGCCAGATATATTTCAGCCGCGCTTTGGAAAGCAGAGCTAAATGGTAAACAAACATGGCAGCACACCGGTAAGGTAAGACAACACGTTTACATGTCGTTTTCTATATGTTCTCTGACATTTATCCTAACGATATGAGGCGGTCTTTGTGGGAAAAAAGCTTGTTTAGTGGACTAACTTTGCACTTGAAGATTGCCCGTTCACTTACGGTTTAACAGACAGTATATTTTGATTTTCTGGGTAATAAAAGCAGATATCCTTAAATCCCTCTGTAATTTTTTCATAATCATATATGTAAACAAAATGAAAAACGAATTTTGCACCTGCTTTATCAGATGTTCAGATTTATCTTCATAAAATCTATGCAGATTAGAGCATATTTAATGACACAATGCCTAATTTGCGTAATTAAACATTAAAATTTTAAAAACTTGTAATAAATTTTTGTCTCATAGCATTGTAAGTAATCAACTGGGGAAGTTTCATGATGATGATAAAATGTTACCCTATTCACCTGCAGTGTCTCACCTTAATGACATCATCACTGGTCGGTATGTTTTAAGGTCAGCAGGTGACATCAGGTCGATACTGCCTCAGAAATTAATCAATAAATGTTCGATAACAAATCACCTGACTGATTTAACTCTCTGAAGCTGTTTGTGATGATGATGATGATGATGATGATGATGAAGATGAAGCTCAGTTTAAAGAGACGTTAAACACTGATGTGTGTGACTGTCAAAATAAACCCCCCAAGTTTCCTGTCGTCTCACCGTTGTCGGGGTCGTTGCGTATCTCCTCCTCCAGGTCGTCGGGGGAGACGTATTCTGGCCCCGCCCCCTCACCTGTGGGCGTCGGCTTCAGTTTCCCACAACAACAGTTACAGCAGCAGCAGAGACAGCAGCAGCAGTAACAGCCCGTCAGGACGCCGCAGACCAGGAACAGACCCTGGGAGAGAAACATATGACACAAACAAACACGGTGATGCGACGCTGAAAAAACACACAGCTTTGATGTTTGTCGGTCTACAGTTTGGCAGCCGTCTCGCTGAGGTGACATTTTTGACGCGAGACACAAAGACTGAGACCTGATGGACCTACAGAAGCACGTGGAACAGCAGCTACATGTTTCCTGTTTGGTCACACACACACACACACACACACAGAGGCAGTGTAAGCCCCGCCCACCTTGGCCCACCAGGTGGACAGCATGAAGTAGGTGTTGACGTTGTCCTCTCCGAACTGCTGGGCGACGTAGAGCCCCAGAGATCCGTACGAGTCGTAGATGTTCCTCTTGGTGAGGTCGGACAGGACGGCGTGAGCACTGTTCAGCTCCTTGAACTTCTCCGCCGCCTCCGGGTTGTCGGGGTTCTTATCGGGGTGGTAGCGCAGCGCCAGCTTCCTGACATCACACACACGCTCATGTTAACACTTTATAAATCCATTCTACATCAAACATGTGATCCATGTCAGTGGGCGGGGCTGCAGTTGTCTTACCTGTAGGACTTCTTGATGTCGTCATGGCAACAGCCTTTCTCCAGACCCAGGACCTGATACAGAGACTCTCCAGAGGTGGACAAAGTTCGCTGCCTCCCGTCAGACATCCTGAACGCATCACCTGTCGCAGGTGGACACACGTCAGCCAGGAACAAACCATATTTATGCACATTTAATTCTTCAGGTGATTGATTCAATAATTCTTTATCAACACTGAACACAGGACTGAGCAACACACTCCATGAACACAGCAGCAGTTTGTTACTATAGTGAATATAAGTCATAGTCATTACGTCAAATAATTCATCATCATGTCAGTCACTGTGAGCGCCAGTAAATCCATCTGGTGTCTAAGACACAGATTCATTGTGAGATTTATTGATCCGTTCATTTTGTCTTCATAATAATAAACAGTAATAAAATATAAATCAGTTCTCATATGTTTTAGAGCACGTAAGAGTTTCCACAGTGTTGGACGTCCCTGTAGGAACTCATAATGATTTAATAATGATTTAAATGTAAGAAAACCATGAGTGCATCACGGAGCAACAGGTGTGTGTGTGTGTGTGTGTGTGTGTGTGTGTAATGTAATAAGTTATTACATATTTAGGATAATTATTCAAATATAATCTGAGGCAAAAAAACCCTGAATGATGTAAAAGTCATGGCACAGTGTGACTGTTTAAAATAAGAACTCTTCTGGTCCTGTTATAGGAACACTTCACCTGCAGAACCTTCACCTGAAAACAGTGAACATGCTGATTGATTGATTGATTGATTGATTGATTGATTAGAGTCCACCTTCAAGAGCAGAACTATATCAGAGCTTCGTCATCACAGCTCCTGCAGAATAATCAGTCTTTAACTTTACACTCTGAAGTTGTCAAAGTCAAGCGCCTGAGCAGTGACTCGTGGTGTCTGAGACCAACAAAGAAAGGCGTACTTTAACACCGGCATGATACGCAGCCTGTTGCTGTCTAACTCGCCCGGCAGTGTCAGCGGGAAACAGAGCAGGACAAAGACAAACATTAAAGTGGTTCCACTGATGTTTGGAACAATTAGTTCACATGCTCAGAATCCATCCATCCGTTTTCCTCCTCGTATCTGAGGCCAGGTCACAGAGCCAGCAGGCCCAGCAAAGCTTCCCAGTCATCTCACTCCTCAGCGACACTTTCCAGCTCCTCCTGGAGGACCCCGCGGCATTCCCAGACCACATGAGATATATCATCACTCCAGTGTGTTTCGGCCTCCTACCAGTTGGACGTGTCCACAACACCTCTGACGTGCTCAGAATCATTCAGCATCGCCCCCATTAGGGGTCGCCAGAGCTTCACAGGGAGTCACAGAGACTTTTTGATTATAAGTGGTGGACCAGACACACCGAGCCTCAGATACCTAGCAGCGACAAAAGCCGACTGTTGAGTCGCCTCATGAGTCTCAGCCAAAAAGTTGCACCTGAACACACCACAAAGTCTCCAGCTGACAGCCAATCAGCTCGTACGCTGAGTCTCCACAGCAGCAGACGGCAATCGTCTGTATTCATCATTGAAAAAGGGAAACAGGAAGAGCGTCTTGATGCTAGTTAGCCAGTTAGCACATGAACAACACAATCAGAGCATATTTACCGTGCGCCAGTGAACAATAACACAAACCATCAGGAAACGTTTCTGCTGAAGAGAAAAATAATCTGACCTCATGGAACAAGTTGGTTTTGGACTTTAGCTCCTCCTTTACTCACTGATGCTCCTCTGCTCCTCACCTGAGCTCAGCTGACAGTCAGAGGGAGGTCATTCACCGATGCGCTCCGACGCCAATTCAAACTGACAAAATTCAAACAGTGTGTGAGAGACATGAAGTGAGGGAGGGTGGGGGCCCACAGTGAGTGCTACAGCACAGGGCCCCAGTATCTGATGCTCCGCCCCTGACAGTGACCGTGCAGAAATGACATCATATTATTGATCTTGATATTAGTGATCCATGTCTGAATAACACAAACATCAGAGCCACAACAGCACATCAGAACAGACGCTCTGCACCACCATCAATACTGATGTTTCATTTCAATCATTGCACATTATATTACAAGTATACGTCATACATATACTCTTATATATATATATATATATATATGTATATATATATATATACTGTAGATTGAAAAGCAAAAGCTGAAGGCTGATGATCCACATCTTTACAGCCACGTTAGAAAAAGAGACACAAGAACCAAACAGCTGATCTGAGCTCAGTCATTGAAACTCTTTCCACTCTATTCAAATCACGCAACTGACAAACGTGTCAGAGGATTCCCATCTGACAGAGTCATCCTGTAAAAACCGCATGAAGAATATTAACACGATATTTTACCTTCAAACCTTTGCTGTCTCTTTAGACAAGTAACACATGATACACCTGATGATGTCACACTGATTCTACCTGTAAAGAAAAAGAAAGGCTGAAGCTGAGAGTTAAAGAGCAGAGTGATGGAGCTGGTACCTGCTGCTGGAGCCTTAGAGCGTCTCGACCAAGCCTCTACCTGTCCTCTGCCTGTCTTCTACCTGTCCTCTGCCTGTCCTCTGCCTGTCCTCTGCCTGTCCTCTGCCTGTCTTCTACCTGTCCTCTGCCTGTCCTCTGCCTGTCTTCTACCTGTCCTCTGCCTGTCTTCTACCTGTTCAGGTGTTTGTGGTCCGCCTGTGGCCGAGAGGATCTCTGACGCCTCCATCAAACATTCAGCAGCTGCTCAGCTCAGGTGACCACGAGCCGCCACGCCTGCTCAGGTTTCACTGAGACGCTCCAGTGGATGCATTGTGACAGGGAGGAGGGAAGGTCGCCATGACAACCGGGTGAGTCAGGGAGGGGGTGCAGACAGACAGACAGACAGACAGCGTCCAGTCATGAGAAGCAGCAGTAACAATGATAATGCTACAGATATAAAGTTACTGGGTTATTATTGTGTGTGTTGCCTTCAGGTTCTGCAGGACTTCAGAGTGTCACACTCTGAGAAGAGAACTGAGAAGTTTCACTGATGAAGTGAAAGTTGTGTTTGTGTTCAGTAACATTAATAAATATTAATATCTGTGTCTTTCCATGAGGACACTGATCAGAAACATGTTCTTCTGTTACTAAAGAATAAAAACATCAGATCAGCAGAACGTGTTCGTCTTTATTTTTATTTAATCACAGAAAATCAGATATTCAGTTTGTTTTCTTTCACTGTTTGTGAGAAGATGATTGAGATCATGTGACGTTCAATAAGCTTCATTAGAAAACACAGACTGTCCTGTGGTGATGAGAAATATTGAAGATTGAGTCAGAAGCAGGAAGTTGGATCCCCAGCAGGAACGTCCTCTGATCCGTCCCCAGATCAGTTTATGACCCTGAACACAACACCAGGATCAGAACATGGCGGAACTGAGTGTTTGTTTTATTCTGTGACATCATTAAAGGAAATACTCACAGCTGATTGGTCCAACAGTCACAGGAAACTGACTGGGTGAGGCCACAGCGGCGGACCGAGCCCGTCGTCCAGAACAGTTCTACAGAGAAGAAATCAAAAGAACATTTATTAAACACAGAAAAATAGATTAAAGACCCCTGGACTTCCTGGAATCCCTGAAGTAACCCTCTGACCTCATTAGGAACCCCCAGAACGTCTTGAAGAACCCCGGTACCCATTTATGAACTGCTAGAACCTTTTTTAAGGACCTGTGGGTTCCCTTCAAGAACTCCTAGAACTTCTAGAGCAGGGCTCGTGAACCTCCTCCTGACATCTATAGCCTTGACCTCTGACCCGGACCTATAAGAATCCCTTAAGAACCTCTAGAACCTGTACAGTAAGAACCCATCCTACTCTCTTATTCTCTTCCTGCAGAACCTGCAGGAACTCTGAAGAACCATTGGAACTCATAAAATCCTCTTAAGGATGTCTAGAACCTAATTAAAAAACTAAGGAACCTCTTCAGGAATCATGACACCACTTAAGAACATCTAGAACCTCTTTAATAACCCATAGTACCCCTTAAGACCCTGTAGAATCATTTTATAGGCCTTTATAGGCCCCCCTTAAGAATTTCTAAAACCTTTAGAACCTGAATAAAACCCATGCAACCTGCTTAAGAACCTCTGGAACCTTATAGACCTCTAGAACACTTTAAGGACTCATGGACTCCTGACATCTATAACCTTGACCTGGACCTATGAGAACACCTTAAGAACCTCTAGAACCTGTCTAGAGTAAGAAGAACCCATGCTACTCTCTTACAGAACCTGTGGGAACTCATTAAGGACTCTTAGAATCCTCTGAAGGGTATTTAGAACTTATCTAAAGAAGTGAGGGAACTCCTGAAACCTGTCGAGGAACCACGACACCCGCTGTAGAACCTGTGGAACCAGACCCAGGTGTTCCTGAGTGTGGAGCAGCTGCAGTACACTCACAGGGCTGCAGGGGGCGCTGTCCCCGTCACACAGGCTGATCCTGCAGTGCAGGTAAACGTCCTCATAAGTGCCGTGGAACAGAAAGAACAGCACCGAGAAACGAGCACGCTGTGACACACCGCTTTCCTCCACCCTCACGTGACGGCGGTCCACTGGACACCTGCAGGAGACAACCAATCAGACCACAGCTGAAAATCTGTTTTCACGTGTCGTCAACACGGCTGCTGAGCGGAACATTTATTGTGAAAATCTGTCTTCTTGTGGGATGTGTGTGACATTCAGGGGCCAAACAGAGATTCAGTTTGCAGAAAACTTCAAAAATCATTAAAAAAAAAAGTTTCCAATAAATTTTGAGACGATTGAAGAATCGATCGATCATCAAACGACTGATCGCTGCAGCTCTGTCAGTCAAACTGATTTTATTGGTCAGGACTCGTCACCTGCTCTGGATCAGGACGTATCTGGCAGGATCGTCAGCGCTGGGGGAGTTTGTGACGTAGCAGTTTTCCAGGAGAAGCTTGAAGAGGTTGTTGTCGTAGTTTTCCACGGAGACGCCAACGTGCAGGGGGACGCCCAGCGGCAGTCTGACCGGGCCAGCGGGGAACGGCTCGCTGTAGTCCGGTCTCTGGTACAGAGTCATCCCTGCTCTGGTGGGCGCACCTGAACGCACCACTCCAACTCTCCGACTCCTGCCGAGAGACGAGACACGTGACTGACAAACACCTGAGGAAACGACACACAGGTGAACTGAGAAAAACCCGACACTCAGAGACTTTTCAGACAAACTGGACTCTTTATTTTTCATCTTAAAATACCCTTAACCCATTAATAATGATGCCATTACAGTATTCTATTAGTTAATGGGTTGTTGGATTTAAGGGATTTTTAAAGAGTAGAAACCCCCTTAGAACTGACCAAATAGCCAAAAGGCCCTTAATTTAAACCTTTAAAGGACTTACATTTTTTAATTAAGGTGAAAATTAAGGGATGCATTTCATGTATTTGTTTTGTATGTGTGCAGATAATCATTACAAACCCCTTAATATTTTAAAATCCATTTATTCATCCACAAATAAGCCTTAAATATGGGGTGAACGCCAGAATCTGATCCTCTTAACCTGAATTTAAGGTGTCCGTGAATACAAACATTTAAAAGCCTTTAACTTATTCTATTAGTGTTAGGCAAAGCAACGTTATATGAATGACACATTTTATTAACAAATGCAAAAAAACATAAACAGTGCAAAAACATTAAAATACAAATGTAAAGAAGAGAAACATTTTAAAGTGAAATCCTGAAGTTAAGACTGGAAACATAAGGGTAGACTTTTAAGGGCGTTATGGTACGTAAAACGTACTAAATGTTCACCAAATCTGGTGAACATGTTCAGCAGCAGAATAATATTTAAGACTTAAGTAGATTTAAGAGGTTAAAAAATGTAAAGTAACACAAATAACAATAAGGCTATATGTCCATTTATTTATACCTCAAAATGCATTAATGTTTTATTTAATGGTATTAAAAAAACTCTGATATTAATTTCATAATGTTTAGTAAATGGTCTATCGTAATCTGTCATTCATCCTTAAATTAAGGTTGAAACTCTGATTTTGCTCCTAAATTATAAATTAGGTCATTTAAAGATACAAATTAAGGGGTACTAGTACTGAGATTCCCCCATTAAATAACCTTAAATCTGCAGCCTTAAAACTAAAATATCCGAATACTGAATAGAATAAAATCTCACTGATTAGCAGCTCAAAAAAAAACTGAAACCAAAAACTCTTAATCTTAAAAATGCCTTAAACTTATCATTCATAGATTTCTCAAATATTTCACATACATGTGGAAACTAAGGAAAAAGTCATGAAGCCCTTAAAATCTACTTAATGTGTTCATTAAGTACTTTATGTTTTTAATAAGGTGATTTTAAGGGGAAGTATCTCTGAGCACAAACACACTGGTTTACATTAAGATGTTTGTGTGTTTTCAGGGGAAAAGGACTAATTAAGGGTTAATTGATGAGATTTTAAGGGATCTATGCTGGTCGGAGAAGTCTTGCTCTGTGATTGGCTGACAGGTGTCTGTTTGCTGCAGGTAAGCAACAGCACTGATGCTTCAGTTAACTGAAGGTCGTCACACTTTAAACTCAGCGATGCGCTGATGGTGAACTCACGGCAGCTGGTATTGAAGGGGGGCGTCTAGGCTGGTGATGTCATCCAGCGGGAAGACGCAGGAGAAAGGGATACTCATCGGGGGCGTGGCGTGGGTCTGACCAGATGGGTACAAAAACAAAATGTTGGTGTACGTGATGTGGGAGCCATTTGTCTGGAACAAATAAAAACAGATAAAATGATGAAATTGGTAAAACATGATTTTAACTTTTGTTTTGTCAACAAGATAAAACGTCATCATGATATCATCATCACTGCTGGATGAGGAAATAAACAACTTCAGCTACTTAATAACCTGATAACATGCCTGATGTTGTGTTTAAAGCAACAAAATAATGCAGCTTTAACCAAATTTAAAATATAAAGGACCAACAGTAGAGCCCTGAGGAACTCCATGACACTGATCTTCAACAGGGTGATCATGTCACTCCGTGTTTGCTGTTCACTAACATTAGGCACATGCTATAAGATGATGATACAGCAGGCCTGTCAGTTTAATGTGGAGTTCCTCTGCCCCCTAGTGGTCAGAAGGTATTAAATATCCAGATATGAAGCTGAACAGATATGGAGAACATCAATCAATCAATCAATCAATCAATTTTATTTATAAAGCCCAATATCACAAATCACAATTTGCCTCACAGGGCTTTACAGCATACGACATCCCTCTGTCCTTAGAACCCTCACAGCTGATCAGGAAAAACTCCCCCAAAAAAACCTTTAACGGGGGAAAGAACATCAAACCAAACGCACCTCCACCACGTTTCCACAGATGCCCTTCCTTCGCTCCACCAGGTACCACATGGTCTCCTGGTGTTCGACCTGCTGGTGGCAGCGCGGGTCGATCAGGTGAGCGGACGACCCGTTCAGCCCTCGTTCCTCCAGCTGCCTCTTCTGGACTGTCAGACGCAGGTGATCCTGTCCACAGTCCAGCTCCGGCTCTTGAAAACCACCGAGTTCATCTGAAGCAAACACAACACAGCAGGAAC